TTACAGATCTCACACAATCTGGTCACCTTAGATCAAGATATCTTGACTATCGAATCATACTTTTCAGTGCTTTCTCGTGACAGCTTAATATCAGTACTTATTTCTGTTATTAGGTATTTTTGCAATAATACCGGCAGCCAAAACATTGTAGCTCCCCAGACAACCCAAAAAGGGGAAATAAAGGGGTAAATGCTTTGGTAGCGAAAGGGGAAAACGCATCAGAATGTCGCCTTTTTCGCCGTTTTGTCGATAAATTACTCACTTTTCGCCTAAATGTCCACTGAATTGTCTACTTTTCGCCTAAATACACACAGAACTCCCTATTTTCCATCCATTGACATAACCCCAAAGGTCTCCTATGTTCGCCTTTATTTTCAACAACAGACCAAAATATATCTGCAATGCAGTGGAAAACCGGCATATTTTTGAAAATTTTTATTTAAAAGGTAAAGCGTATTATTGTACAACACTAGAGCAGAAGCTTAAGCACCGATTGTTTTGCATGTCCAATGCAATTGCTACTCCATTGTTATTTGAAATTATCTGCAAAAGAAGGAACAGGTGATGTATTATTTATAAGGAATGTGCATTTAATCAAAAGTTCACTGACACTCAGACACACATTCTCAACACTTCTACAGTTTCCCATGTAAGTAAAAAAGTAAGCTGTTTGAAAAATACTATTGATTGAAATGTAGGTAGAACATCAAAACAATTGCACGGCTATTGAGAATTCAGGTAGTCGTCCCGTGAATTCTGAATTTATAAAAGTCACATCCATATCTCAATGACATGCTTTGGTACAGCCAAATACTTGTGTAGATCTACACAAGAGGTAGTAATGCTATCTTAGATTGGTCTCTGGTAAAATATCCACATAATTATACCTCTTCCACATGATTATGATTTATTTCCTGCAATACAATCATCTAGTGGCTAATATATCTAACTGTAGAAGGTGATATTAACATCTTGGTATGCGTTATTATCATCTATAGCATATACATAATGTTTACAACACTCGGAACACCTAATGTTTTCACTATCAACCTATTTCTGCCATGAAAGTAGAAAAAAACAGTGAAAATTAGCCGAAATTTTGATAAAGACGGGAAAAACGATAAATCTTACCATGGTATCGTTAGTTGTAACGCAGTCTTGGTAACCTTGACGACTATACAATTTTTGTGACGATATATGCCTGAATGATGCTATTTCATATAAAAATAAAAGATTTGTTTACCATCAGCGTATACTTAAGTAGAACTAATTGCTAATCTGCTATGCAAACACGAAAAAACTATTATAGCAGCACCTGATTAATGAATTTTCAAGGACTTCGCGATACCATGTAACGCAAAATGGAAAAACACCTTTTCACTTAGTTATGAAAACGGAATATAGACTTTCAAATTTCTTCGTAATTAATTTCAAAATTTGGTTTACACAAAGCCGAAATAAAAAAGTAGCGCAAAAAAGTGTAGCGATACCCCTGGAGCGCTGCCTGCACATTCGCAACGCAACTTTCGTAAAGCGCGCCAACTGTAGTACTGATTAAAACCATCTACATTCATATCTTATAAATTATCAACCCAGCTATGTAATTTACTACAGTGGATATTGTATCATTTGTATCAATTTGATCTTGCCTGTAAACTGGTATGCCTCATGTAACAAACTGTTATTTGAGAATAAATTATTATTATTTAAATTCTAACTGCCGATCACTAATCAACAAAGTGGACTATCTGCAATTCCTACTTAATCAAAATACGTATCGTAATTGTGGTGTCATCACAATTCAAGAATCTTGGTTGAATGATTTACAGGATGACTGCCTTGTATCACTACGTGATTTTAAAATTTATCGTCAGGATCGATCGAACAATAAAAAGAGGTGTGGTGGCGGTGTAGCTACGTTTGTAAACATAAACTGGTGTCGATCTTCGTTTGTGTGTTTTAAGTTTTCAAATGACTTTATCGACTGTCTAACTCTAAGATGTCGTCCAAAACATCTGAATAAATACAAATATGTTTGTTACCAATATCTACGTGACTCCAGATTGCACATCATCTGCACTATCTGTTTTTGCTGATGAATTCACTGAGTTCGCTGTTACTGCCTTCAGTGATTCACTTTCAGTTGTATGTGGTGATTTCAATTCATGTGACTGTAGCTTCCTTACGTCACTAGGTCACCAAAATGTAGTAGATTTTCCTACCCGTTTGGATGCTCATCTAGACTTCGTCTTCATTAATGATGTGGGTATATATGCGACTCGTAAACGTGCTCCATTGTCTAGCTCAGATCACTGTATAATTCGTGTTCTACCTAAAGTATATGGAAAGCATGGGAAGAGTACACTCTTACATCAAACCAAGAAAGTCAAATATAGGAATTACTCAGAAGAAAATATCCGAAATCTGAAAAACATGTTTCATACGACTAACTGGGAATTATTTACAGATGACTCACTCGAAAACACTACTGATGTTATCACTTGTTACCTTAAATTCTGTTTTGATATTTGTTGTCCCACTGAAACCATTTTTGTAAGTTTTGATCGACTTACATCTTCACAACTAAAACGACTACGGAGGATGAAAGAAAAAATGTACAAGGAGAAGAACTCAAATGAAGTTCGTAAGCTAAATGGTCTGATAAACCTAGAGATTAGACGTCTCAACTGTATGTTTACTCAAAAACTCTTATCTTGCAAAAACTCTCCAAGTATGTGGAAATTCTTTAAAGAACTTACAGGTGACAGAAAGTTTAGAAGCGATAACCAGCTGAATGTTTGTGACTTAAATAAGTCTTTTGTACGTCAGTCATCTGATGTGATGCTCCCTCTATCCACGGGTTTAAAAAATAGCTGTGTTCCTACTTTCACTGAAACTGATGTACGAGGATGTCTCCAGTCGCTTAATTCATCTCGATGTTTGGGACCTGATGGTATCCCAAACATCCTTTTTAAAAAATGTGCTGACGTTCTGTGTCATCCGTTCACAACTATATTTAACAGATCCTTCTCATCTAATCTCATACCGAAAATGTGGAGAAAGATGAAGATAATTCCTGTACCCAAGAAAGCATTTGGTGATAAGAATGTAAAATTTAGACCTATTGCAATAACTTCACCCTTCCTCAAAACCATGGAAAAATTATTAATACTTCCACTTCAGCCTGCGATAAAAGAGCATACTGACCCATACCAGTTTGCATACAGGCGCAAAAGAAGCACTTTAGATGCTGTTGCAGTTCTGCATCACAACATAGTGTTCAACTTAGAAAAGGGTAAGAAGTATGTTCGATGTGCTTTTCTGGACTATACTTCAGCTTTTGACTCTATACCAAGACAACGTTTACTTAACAAGTTAATCAGCGTCAACACTGACAGCTGGATAACCAACTGGCTATGTTCCTACCTCTCTGGAAGGGAACAGTACACTGTGTTTGGAGGAAAGTGTTCAGTCTCTACTGTCTCATGAAGGTGTACCACAAGGAGCTGTTCTCTTACCTCTTCTTTTCTGCATGATCTGCCATCTTCCACAGAAAACACTTTTGTGAAGTATGCGGATGATCTCACTGTATGTATGCCTATCTCTTCCTCTTTACATCCCATAGAAATGAATGAGTTTTTGTCTCGTATTGATTGTTGGTCTGTTGGTAATGGTCTCATACTTAATCCGTCTAAATGTCAAGCTGTTAACTTTAGCATGAGACATGAACGGCATCTAAACATCATCTTGAGATCCCATGATGCTTGTACCATCGGAGACTCTTTGATAAACACAGTGTCGAAGGTCAATTATCTTGGTGTCACCTTTTCCTCTGATCTGTCTTGGTCTTCCCACGTTTTATTGTTATCGAAGGTTTTCCGTCTGACCTACTAAATAAAGAGGTTGCATGCTCTTGAGATTACTCGTCATTTACTCTTACAATTTGTCAATTCTTGCATATTACCTATTATTCTTTACTGTTCTCCATTATTCTTTCCCGGGCTTTTGAGAAAAGACTTTGCTGTATTGCAGAGTGCTGAAGGCAGTTAGCAGGATGTGTGGTCAATCTTTCGAGGTCATAACTAATATGGTTGTGGATAGACATCCAAAGTCATGCAAACTCCTGGCAGGTGTTATTTTATCAGATACTAACCATCCCCTTCACTCTTATCTTTCTCCTTGTATATCTTCTGGTAGAACGAGACGTAATTACATTAAAATCCATGCACGCAAGCAAAAGTATAAATGTTCTATGATACCTTACCTAGCAAATATACTCTGTGACGAACAGGTTGTTAGAATTAACCTAGTCAATAACTTACATTCTTAACATGTCTTTAATTTTAAAAGTTTGTACAGTTTTTTTTTATTTCTTTTTCGATTTGCTACTGCCTATTTGTTCGTTGTTCACTAAGTAACTTGTTGAAATACCCTGTGCTGAGAATTCTATATTGTACGAAAATATAATATTGAAGAAAGCCATTAAAAAAAAGTTGCTTGAATAGGCGATCATCGAAGGTTCTTTGGCCGATAACCCCTCTCATGCTTTGCAACATGTCTGTTGCAGAACCGTGTTGCAGATCGATGTTATTTAGTAGTTGGTCCAACCTTTGTCGATCGGTTAGGTTTCCGCGTTTAAGAATAGATCGTTGAAGTGTTTCGTGTGGTTCAGAAACATCACTGGTAGGTGTTACGTACCTATCGAATTCTCGCGGTAGTGCCCTAGTACCCGTAAGACCTCAGCATTTTTCCTTAAAACTGATATACTGTGCAAACATACCCAGGTGGTTGTTCGGATAACTGAAGCTTTCTTCCTAAAATAACTTTTTGAACTTATAACTTACCTACTAACTGGGCTTATGAAGAGATAATTTTCAATTGAGTCAAAAATTATCTCTTCTTTTAGGGAAAATTCTATTTAATATGTTGTTCGATAACTTTATATGAACTAGTGATTACATTTATCATCTGCTCTGCATTGAGTAATATCATTGGACAATGTATAATATGTTCCGCCCTATTTGATTATTGACCTTATGTTTGATTTACATAACTTACAAAGACAAGTCGGCAAGTTCTTGAGCGATGTTAGCTTTTAATGTGTAAATCTTGTTAAAAAATTAGTATTCCAGCCATGTCTGAGCCGTACATCATTAACACTGATAGAGGAGATCTTTTTACTCATTAATAAGTAAGAAAATCTCTATAATTATAGAGTTATCAACTTTTCATAGTTCTTTGTCCATCGCATATGAAACAATTTGAAATCTGTGGGTTCCCATATAACTTTCGTGATACTCTGTCAATATGCTAGGTTCAATATACCTATGATTGTTTTAATTAGATATAGCATTATCGACACCTTGTATACAGGGTGTTATAACTCGAGCTCCCAACTTTAAGGAAATTTTGGGGAAGCTCTCGAAGTGAAATCGCCTTGACCAGGGTTAAAGGGGAATTTTCCCGAAATGTGCCAAATTTTCACCGAAAGTGGGAGCTCGGGAACTTGTTGTGCAAGTGGGATATCCGTTTACCAACCAAGTTACGTTTTTGCAGCTCAGTAGCCCGCTCTGTAATAATATGTCGCCGTGAAACAGGGATTTTAATCGCAGGTGTCTTCGGAGCATTGATCACATATCATAGAACAGCAGAGTAAGGAGTCTTGGTGCTAAATACGGTGAACTAAGCAAACAAGGCGAGCCCGTTGACAAGGCTGTGGGTCTTTGCAAACAGGTAATTGGGAGATATCATTCATGACCAACCACTACGAGACTCGACGGTCAATGTCGGTTGGAGTAGGAGTAAGCTGGAATAAAGCCAAGAGCTTTCGATCCAACTGTGGCACCTTTTCATGAAGTCACTAACTGTTGGTTCACTCATATCAACAAGTGAAGACTAACTGGTTGGCATCCGTTCGATAACTGTGACGCGTAATTGGAGACGGGTCAAGGCTCGTAATCTGTTGCAGTGCCTCAGATGTATTCACTCCTTGTCTTACTTGAGATATTCAGTATTTTTTAAAACATACCTCCTATAATCTTGAGCCTTACCAGAGGGGCTATCAGCCTAGTCTATAATATATTATTCTTCAGTAAAGAAGAACTAGTTTCGTCATTTTAATATGTTAACCTGCCATCATATAAGTGTCAATCATATTAACTACTTAGAAGGTAATATACCAAATGTCAAATGAATTGCAGAGGTTACATTTCAGTAAAAACAAAAGATTTTATACATACTTTTTGTTCAGATGCGTTCTGTATCATTCAAAAGGACTATAGATTTCGCGTAATTGTTTTAGGATTTTACTCTCTTATTCCATGAAACGGGCAAAACAAGAAAGAGAACTGACAGATGAAGAGCGTAATATCGTGATATCAGTACGTCATTGTGCGCGAGAATTGGACGATATCTTACAGGGTGCACGTAGAAAAGCCCAGTCGAATCCCAAAGTATTTGCGGAGACAGGAATTAGTGTCATGTTTAGAGGTGTTGACTCTTATGCGGAGATGTATGAAAAATTGGGTGTGAGGTCAAGAGATGGATTAGAAAGATTATTTTCTAAATTTTCCGACTGTGAAGAAATTCAGGATACTCAAGATGCAATCGAAGAAACTGAAGGAAACTGGAGAAATTTTCTAGTTAATCTTGATAAGGAGGTTGCACATGATGAGCATGAAAATAGTAGAGTTAATTCAGTATCTAAACCCGAGAACCTTTCTGATGTGGAATGTGATTACTTATTCTTACCATCACTACCGCTTATTGACTGGCAAACCAGCCGTGAGGTTAACTTGCAAGATTATGTCCAAAAATACATGTGCCTTGTAGTCATCTGTCAGCCCGCGTACTGGCCAGATACTGCTGTTCGTTGGCGTTATTCAGAGGTATCAAAAGCCCAGGTAAATTTCCCACTCCAAAATTAATGATTTTACGAATAACAATATTTTTAGAGTAACGCTACAGAAAACGTTTCGCTATCAAATTTACCATTAGTGTATTTCAGTAACCACATATACTTACTACTACCTATGTGCACATATGCCAGATCCTACATTTCATATCACTAACTGACTAGGAACTTCATATTCCTTGATATATTTGTATCCATGGTGATCTGGATCACACTGTCGATTTAATAATGCGTTAATAAAACTGACGTCAAGTTAGGCTATTGCTATTTTATTATGTATAGGCTACATGTTTTTGCCATTACTTGATCTTACGATCGGCGGTTTCCCATATATCACCTATTACTTTGTTTAGCTACCCATTTCTTGTTCCTGAACTTTCGAAGGATTTCTGTGTTTCATAGATCACCAAAAACAACTAGTTTAGTGAGTAGTATATCTTTCAACTTCATTATGAACATAGTTGTTGATCGAAATTCAGAATTCTGTCATATATAAACCATCCACTCCGTTCATGTGGTCCCCGTTGTATATTCACTAGCATAACGAGATGTAGTACACTAAAATTCATCCACGTGAAATAACATGCCATGCAATACTACACCTAGTACTTATATTGTGAGACTTGTAGGAGCTGACCTAACCAAAAACCAATGCTCTTGAACATACAGATGACTCACCACTGTAAAGATTCTTACCTTCTAAAGATTTTATTTAATTTTATTTCTCATGTAGATGTATGTCTAAATAGTATAAAATGATTTTGTTTGAACATGTTGAGAATTGTACTAAAAATACAACAGAGCAATGCGATTACCATTATCGTTAATACGATGCGTCGAGCTACTGTTCATAGTCACGACAATTTGTTATGGTAAACTGACTTCCTTTTGAGTATTAATATTAAATTTATTTTGACCATTATCTTCGTTTCTTATCTATATCAGACTGAAAATGAGGCAGACAATCGATTTGAGACGTGTCATCAACAGACACAGGCCCAAATTAAGACAATTCACATCAGTAACTGTTATAATCTCTTTCTTACGGTTATGACCCAGCTATTCCTATTGCTTAGTATTCTCGGACACCGATTCACTCGACAAGTCCCCAAATCAGAACACGGTTGAACAGGAAAGAGATTATATTCCAAATAACAAGGTTAGATGGAAATAAGATGCAAGCCAGAAGCACAATAGAGAAAACGTCAGTATATTTATAGTCTCTTTTACATGAGAAGATTCTAGAGTATTCTCTAACTATCGACTAGTGCTGATTGGATAAGAAGGTGTCTAGCAGAACATCAAGAGGTAATCGATATTGAATCTTGTTGCTGGCTATCGAAGTTGCTTTCAATTGGTTAGCATGACGTACCCAAACTTCCGAGCCAACTGACACCTCGTAAACCACACTCCCCTTCTTTTTCAAGATCCGACCAGCTGTCCATGTAGGATGTTTCCCACGATAGTCCATAGCAAGCACTTTTTGTCCCACCGTGAACAATCGTCTTTGTGCCCCATGATGTCGGTTAAACTGATTCTCCATCGATAGGTTTCGTTGGGGTTCAATAGCTGGCGTAGGACGGATGACATCGAAATGTGTTCGTATCTTTCTGCCAAGTAGAGCTTCTGCTGGAGAGACCCCGTTAATTGTCTGAGGGTTCGGTGTAGAGCGATAAATAAACAGGAACCTCTCTAAGATATCTTCAGTGGTCCCTTCCCCTTTGGATTTTTTTAGAGCATTTTTAAATGTACTCACAAAGCGTTCCACTTGGCCATTTGATTGGGGATGGAATGGAGGTGTTCGGAGGTGCTGGATTCCGTTCTGCCGACAAAATTGTGAGAAGATTTCGGACGTAAACTGTGTTCCGTTGTCACTAACTATCAATTCCGGGATTCCAAAACGACTGAATAGTTGACGTAGTTTACTGACTGTGCAGCTTGCAGTCGGGTGTTCCATGAGAAAAATTTCTGGCCACTTGCTATATGCATCAACCACCAAAAGGTAAGTTTGTCCATGAAGTGGACCAGCAAAGTCCAAATGTATACGCTGCCACGGTAACTGTGGTATTGGCCATGATTGCAGCTCTGCTTTTCGCGGTGCTTTTGTTGCTAATGCACATTTGGTACACGAACGGGATAGCTGCTCCAGTTGGGTGTCTAAATGCGGCCAGTATACATAACTTCGTGCTAGTGCTTTCATGCGATTTATTCCAGGATGTCCTGCATGCAACTGTTCAAGCACTGCTGGTTGTAGCTTCTTGGGAATTATGACACGTTCGGCAAACAGCAGACAGTCATCGATGATTGAAAGAGAGAGTCTTCGCTGGTAAAACTGTTGAAGCTCTGTGGAACTGATTTTCGAGGGCCACCCTTCTAGGTGGAACTTTCTAACTTCTTGTAGTGTTGGGTCTCGAAGCGTTTCTTCTCTGACTTCATCTGACGACACTGGAGTGTTTCGAATGGCATCTGCCACTATACTTCGTATTTCTGGGTCTACTGCTGTGGAGGCAATGATTATATCCTCTGGTCCAGGATGTTGAACTCCAATTAATCGGGAGAGAGCGTCAGCTTGACCGATAGTATTTGTCGACTGATACTTGATATTAAAATCATAACTCAGGAGCATTGTTGCCCAGCGCTGTAGTCTATTAGCCGTATAGACAGGGATTCCTTTCTTAGAACCAAAGATTGCAATCAAAGGTTTGTGATCTGTCAGTAGAGTAAATGTACGACCATAGAGCATTTTATGAAATCTTTTGACTGCGAAAATGATTGCAAGAGCTTCCTTTTCAATTTGGCTGTAGTTTCGCTCGGCTGGAGTAAGTGATCTAGCAGCATGGGCAATTGTCTTTTCTGATTTATCCGGAAACACGTGAGATATCACTGCTCCAACTCCATGACTAGAGGCATCAGATGCAACAACAATTTCCAAGCTGGGATCGAAGTGCGTCAAAAGAATCTTTGAGCTGAGCATTGATTTGACTCTGTCAAAAGATGCTTGACATTCTGCTGACCACTGCCAAGGTTTATCTTTCGATAGTAATTCATTTAGGGGACCTCTCACTCGATGCATTTCAGGCAAGAATGTGCTGTAATGACTGATTAACCCCAAGAAGGATCTTAATGAAGAAACATCAGTTGGTGCAGGCATCTTCTGAATGGCTTCGATGTTGGCAGGGTCTGGTCGGCGACCGTTCTTATCTAAGATAAAACCAAGGTATTTGATCGAATGCATGAAGAAGATACATTTTTCCTCACGTAGTTGGAAACCATACTCCAACACTCGGTTAAGGACTTGGTGTAGTCGATCAGAAAGTTCACTGTCAGTTGAACCCATAACTATGATATCATCTAGATAAGCTGCTGTACCAGGTATACCTGTTAGCATCGTATCCATTATTTGCTGAAAGATGGCGGGTGCGGTCTTGATGCCAAATGGTAGACGGTGTATTGAAATAACCCTCGATGAGTGTTAATGGTCAGAAGCTCTCTACTATCTTCATCTACTTCCACTTGGAGATAAGCATCAGAGAAGTCTATTTTCGCGAAACATGTCCCACCATTAAGCTTGGCAAACAGGTCTTCAGGAACTGGTAAGGGATATTGATATACATCTAATGCAGCATTTAAACCGGTCGAGAAATCGGCACATATGCGTATAGTCCCATTGGCCTTCTTAATCACTACGATCGGTGCGGCCCATGCAGAGTAGTTAACTGGTCGGATTACACCAGCCTGTTGCAAGCGATTAAGTTCCTGGTCGACTAGCTCAAGAGCAGCATATGGTACAGGACGTCTCGGGCGAAAAATAGGTATGGCATCTGGTTTCACTGGTAAGTGCGCTTTCATCTTGGTACAGTGGCCAAGGCTATTCTGAAAAACAGAGGCAAACTTTCTTTTCAGTTTTTCTAGTAACCTTTCACCTGTCTTCTTTGGAAGTAATGGGGTGTCCAATGATGAACACGATACGTTACAGACACTGTTAATTGGTATATCCATTATTCCAAGTTTGTCTAGCATATCTAGACCAAGAAGATCAAGGTTCGGCCGTTCTGTTAGGTAACATATTCCTGTACAGTTAGTTCCATTGAAGGAAAATTCACACTGTAATTCACCAACCAGTTTTAGCACACCACCTGATGCGTTTTTAGCCGTTTTCTTAGATGGCTTCATTGGCGGTTTACCCAGCAAGTTATACGTTTCTCTAGACACTAACGTGATATCTGATGCCGTGTCAATTTGAAGACGAGCTGATATGCCGTTTATCTGGATGGTAACATACTTTCTCCGAATGTCATAGTTTGTTTGAAAGGCAGCTACCAGAGAAAGAGATTTGACTCGGCTGATTTCACATGTCGAGGACGTTTATGCTTCTTCTTAGGCTGAGACGTACGCTTCGGTGGACAATGACCTTCTTTATGTCCACGTTTGTTGCACTCCTGACATTTATGCTTCTTGAACGGACAGAATCGTGCATAATGCCAATCACCGCATAACCAGCATGCAGTCCTTGGTTTGTTACGAGTTGTTACCGGCTTCTGAACTTTTAACCTAGTAATAGTATTGACACTACCGCAGGTTAAATTAGGATTTACCTGTTCAATCAACTCGTCGTGTCTGATGCTCTGTAGACGCTTACATGCATTATTCTGAGAACCCACATCTGATACATTGTCATTAGAAATCGGATAAGCTGATTCAATATAAATTCCTGTCCCACAATGATTTTGAGTAACCTTCGGTATAACTGGGTTCATCGTGTCACTGCAGTTATTTTCTGAATACGAGTCCCCATAGCTTTTTCGGCTAATATCATGTGGACCATAATTTTGTTCTAGCTGAAATTTATTTTCAGAGCTAGACAGGACCAGTAGTGTTTCATTCAATTCTGGATTCCGGGCTTCATCTACAGGGTCTGGCTCTTGATCATCTCGTATTGCCACAACTTTATGAGCATTCAGCACAGTATTTTCTAGCTGTGACCCGGACATGTTACAAATATTACGTTCTGATTCACGTATAAAGGGATTTGAACCGTCCACTAGATATGCTTCTGAAATGTCTGTTACTGCATCATAAACAGATTTCTTATTTTCTGGTCGAGTGAAAAGTGTGCTCAATAGTTGTTGTTGCAAGGCTAACAACTTCTGCTGGTGCTGTAATATTAACCGCAACTGTTCTAAAGAAATCGCCATTTTTCTTTAGTTTTTCCCCGTCGCCACTGTTATAATTTCTTTCTTACGGTTATGACCCAGCTATTCCTATTGCTTAGTATTCTCGGACACCGATTCACTCGACAAGTCCCCAAATCAGAACACGGTTGAACAGGAAAGAGATTATATTCCAAATAACAAGGTTAGATGGAAATAAGATGCAAGCCAGAAGCACAATAGAGAAAACGTCAGTATATTTATAGTCTCTTTTACATGAGAAGATTCTAGAGTATTCTCTAACTATCGACTAGTGCTGATTGGATAAGAATTAGCCAATCAGCGCGCACCAAAGCAATCGTGAATTGAGCATGCTTTAATCCGGTCTATGTCCCGCTAACAGTAACCGATTTCCGCCTGTCACCTGCAATCTCTAAACATTGGGTACGGTCATCACCCTGGATCCAAACAAGAAATACGAACTTGCTCATATGACTCCAACTAGCAATCAATGGCCCCAAAAGCTCTAGTACGACCGGAGCGAGGAGAGTTAGCTCTCCATCTCGAAATGCACTGACATGGGCACGCATATACAGCCACTGCCAGGGAGGTCCTTCTCGTGGCAGGGGTGTTGTTTACGAAATTGAGAGAACGAAACGCGAACGTTCGGTACTTTACCCGGGTTGGTGGATACGGAGGGTCCACCTAGGAGATTTGGGAAACCCTGATTCCAAATCGATGGTGCACATGAGCTCCAGGATCCTGAAGGAACAAATGGAGTACGAACCAAATGTTGGTCACCGGCTACCATGAGAGTGCACCTCCTAAAGTTGCTCCACTGTCTTATGAATTAGACTTCCGGATCAAAGGTTCCAGATGTGGTCCCCTAGGAAAACCACCTGTTTCGGTTTGGGCACCTGGGCAGTATTACAGCCCTCACGTCAATGATAAGTGCTACTGGCCTCATTGTTATTGTGTGGTGCATATGTACCTCATGTCCTCTTGTACCAATGTTTGTGTGTTCAGATAAATAAGCAATCAGTGACTTTATGTATCTATGCCACGACAGTTTTGCTTTCAGTAGTGTTTATCCTCTACCATTGATTTTAGTACTTCAAGGAATATGATTTCACAAAATAGAATTCTTACTACGTAATTCTCAAGAAGCTGTCTGTCAGGCAGATATTTTACTGTTCATTACGTTTTCAGTGGAATTCGAAACGTTCTAATTAGAAATCCCACCAACTGATATAAACTAATAAAGACATATTTCTCACTAGTTCTCAATATTTGTATTCAATGCGAAGGGATATTGATAGTACTGACTGTCAAAATTTTCAAAGTATGATAAAATTGTATGTGGTAAACCTTATTCTCAGTTGATCTTCAAATGATACCTTTTTCATTTGGTTGAGTGGTTTGCGGAAATTAGTTGAATTCGGTGATAGTTCAGACTAATATAGTAATATATTTCTCTATTAATTCGTTCCAAGAAGTTATGATCTAGTAGTATACTAACATTGACGTCGAAATGGAGGCATTTATGCCTCAACCATATCAGTTTAGACGTCACGGTAAGTCATAAATTCATAGTTTTTAGATGTAACATACTATTTTTTCTATTTATTTTAAATAGCTTTTTTACATTAATTATATTCTGTACAATTTTTTCCTCTTCCTGTTATGAAATTGATTTTTGTTTATGTAAGTAATTTCAAACTTCTTTTTTAAAGTGTGATCTATCCCAGTTCAACGTTGGATACGCAGTTGTTACATGGGGCCCAGCAGATGAAGTGCGGAGTTGGTGTAAACAAGTTAATCGAATTACAAAGTGGCCGGTTTTATGGGATAAATCAGGCGATTTTCGAGCTAAAATTGGATTTAAATCAGGTTTACAACGTGTTAGTCTACAAAATTCCCTTTTTAGCCCATACTTTTCATAAAATCAGTTTTCATTATTGCATTTCAATATCATGCAATATGAAGTGCATTAACTGATTAGTACCATGGTCATGTCTATGTATTTTTCAAAAACAATAGTTTCACACTCTTGGAAGATATTATTGTCTATGCGAGTCAAGTTTACGTATTAGCGTGAGCAATCTTACCACATACTTGTAGAACTTGACGTTTTGAGCTGAGGATGTTTACTGTCTCAATCTGATCATCGCCGTCTCCCGACAATCGCTCACATCCTATGCTGATATCCAATATTATGTGCTTTGGAAAAACCCAACCATGACTCACCTTGACGTGGTGCTTGAACTTGAATATTGTGATGACCCGATCGGACTGTTTTAGTTGGAATACTCATTCCCTTAGGTGCTATCATGCCTGGCAAGCTGTTCAAAGAGCAGTAAGACTAAAAGCAGCAAACTCATGATCCAAAGTTGTACTGCTGGCTGTATAGGAGTATGATGGCATTAAGGGTTTTTTCTTCAGACACTTAACATCTACAGCGGTACTGCCTCCCCACAACGAAAGGAGGAAGTTAGATAAGGTCGACCTTGAAAACTGTATACCTCACCTTGCTATATGGATTTCTGCCTTTAGCGACAAGGTCTTAAAAGTAAAGGGTAATGTGTAACCAGCCTTATGCAGTTGTCCGTTTGGTAGTGAACTTACGCTTTCGGGTTAGCAAAAACTGCCTTTAACCGAGTCTCACTTTTAGGTACCCGAGAAAGTTTTCTTTCATAGTGTGAGCAAAAGAGAAGTTATAGCCGACTTCATCTCTGGGAAAGCTCTAGGTTAATGGATAACAATTATATAGGTATTACCATCTTGAAATACTAATATTAATGGCTTGGGCACGTTTTATGTTGTCCTAGCGGCTCCACACCGCACATTATTTGTTGATAGTGTGATTATATAAAAAACTAGATAGTAGACAATTCTTGACTCCGAAAATCCCCCACATTGTGAATTAAAACAACATATATAGGTGAACAATAAGGTTTGCAATTCGATCCTTCTCAGGCTTTATTCTAGTATATAAGGATGCTTAATATGGATGTATGAAATTATTAAACCAATCAAGGCATTTTACGGGTCATTGATAACAGTGGGATAGATAACATAGATAAACGATGAGTAAAAATTGATGTGATGATTTTAAAGTCACATGGGGATCTGATTGCATTTCAACACGAATTCAGCTACTCCTTTGGAGAGCGCTATATTGTGCGCACAACTAGACCACTGAGCCGATGAGTTAATGAGCACCTCTCTTCGCAGTTGGAAAAGGGCTTCATGAGAACAATACACAGCTGGGTTTATAACACTTGATCGAGTGTTTATGTAGGAGTAGGAAATAAGTCATTTAAAGTGATCTTTGGTATGCCAACTAGTCTTCCTTATGAGGTTCAATCTCGTCGCTTATACATTGCAGAAGCTGTAGGGATTCCAGCTGACAATCCAATTCTTAGGGTTCATAAGAAATTCGTGACTTATTCCACCCTTGGCCGGATTAGCCTTAGTAAACGACTTTACTTATTATTATTTTCCATATTCCTCATCCCATTAATTTTCTTTACCCCTTTTTCCAAATATGCGCTTCACTGTGTAATTATTTGGATACTTCTTCTTACGTAATTTTTGAGGAACATTATTCCATCTGTTTTTTTCAGGTCCTTAACCTACTTTCTATGATGATACATTGATTGCCATAACTAATACATCTGTAATCACGCTATCGATTCGTGCTGTTTACTTATTATGTTTATTTATGTAATCTTTTCCACTGTTATCACTGACTTCCTTGATGATATAATAATTTCATAAATGCATATAAATATTATTGTATATTAGAGTTAAGCATGATAAGGATTTAATTGAAAACAATGTTCTAATTTTTGACGTGTCATCCTGACATAGAGGATAATCGAGTTGAGTTTACATGCACTTTTCACTCAAGTACCTTTAGATGAGGCAACTAAGACATCACCAGAAAAGATTTGAAATAAGAGTTAGTAACGATGTACTTTGAATATATATTGTTTTTCGCAAACATTAAAATGGCCCTGGGTTGTGTTTTTACTTAGTGCTTTGTTTAATACATGTTCTCCCCTTTCTCCCTAGCCCTGGCATCTTGCTGTTTCATGCACATCTTGATGTCTTATTTTATCGAACCTTCTTTATAGGTAGTATTTTTACATAAACACTTTGTAGTTTGGTTGTATGCACTTGACAGACTCACCATTATAATGTACGCCCATACTGAATTTTAGCTTTTATTGTATATTTATTACAAGCTGTCAGATATTTGGAAACGTTTACCACCTAGACTATGCATATATCAAGATATCTAAAAAAAATTTGGTCGCTCAGCCCAATTATGTTTATACTACTAAGATTTACAGGGTGTTTGTGCATTAGATTTTTATCCCCTAATAACTCATTGGAGTGTAGGATAGAAATTATAGTGATAATACCACTTGTTTTAACAGTGACATTAGTGTTCTACTATGCAGTTTTCTTCAATTAGGAGTGAGGGTTATTTTCTCTTGCCTTATCTTTAAATTTTTTATACAAAGCACAAACTTGTTATAGGGATGAGATATGCCTCTGAAAATGATTACAAACGTATTAGTGATGTATCTTCACACAACCCATTCATAAAAGCCATGTCTTAGAACAGTACTTTTAGACATACCACAGAGAGGATTTACATCGAAATGTTCTCTTAGGAAAATCTTAGCCGTGATATTTTTCGCGTATACCCAATAATTTCACCTTATTACGTTGTGTGAATTTACCAAGGTCTTAATAAGTTTTTCTCATATATAAAAGCATTAATTAAATCTTATTGTTCCGTTAACTTAATGGATATAGGTTTGGGCCGCTGAAAATCTGGATTTCCTTGGTTGTCAACGTTCAATGCATCATCGTCCGATAAATTCACCGCCAACTAATCTCAACTGGTCAGAATGGAAACAAATCGGTGGCGAATTAGTTTTATCTCAGCCTGTCTTATGGAACCCACAAAAGACAATGAAATCTAACATATATGTAGCAACGCAAACAGGTGTAAAACATAAGCGCAATACTCATGAAAGTGATGAAGAAGATAGATCCAATGAAGAAGACTTGCACTCAGAATCACTTAAAGTATCAATTAGAGAGGCCCTTCGTGATAAAGAAGCGATGAGTTCAAAACAGGTCAAGGTTTGTGCATTGCACCTAAGTACTCGTATTTCGGATCTAATGCCATCAGGTTCGATATATCAAGCTGCTTTAACATGTTATGCTCGTACACACAATACTACAGAAAGCGATGTCATGGATAAAATTAGGAGAGATCGCAGGTTTTGTACACCACCTGAATCAGATCGATTACAGTACGAAGCAACTACCGGTTTATATTATGACCCAGAAACTGCTTTATATTATGACCCACTAAGGGGTTATTTCTATGATTCAACGAATCAAATGTACTACTATTGGTCTCAATCTGAAGGACGATATATCTTAGCCAATACATTGATTCAAGCTGAACTTGCTGCTGCGCATGTAGCTCAAGCAGTAGCAGCCCAAGCTGCCGCAGACAAAGCTATGGCTGAGCGAGAAGCTGCTAAGAAGGCGGCCATGTGTGTAGCCGCGCAATTGGCGGAGATACGTGCGGGTAAAGACGATTATGCTGCTTATGCGTATGCAACATGTGTGTTACCTCAACAAGAACCAAGCGACCCAGATTACAAAGAAATTTCTACAGACAGTGGTAGATTTTGTATCGCTTATCAAAATACAACAGCCGCTGCAAATAATATAGAAGCATCACTAAAAGCATGGAACACAGGCAATACTAACAGTGGTACTGAGATTTTGTCGTCTAAACCTCTTGTTCCTTACACAGATGACAATACAGAAACTGATCATTGTAGTTCAACACCGCCACCCCCAGGGTTGTAAATAATAAAACTGTAAAAAACACAAAAAACCCCCATTTCATTACTTTAGTCACATTGCTCCACTCACTATGTATTTGGCACTTTTGCGTATTATAAGCTGTGCGGCGTATTTAATTTGGTGTTTGTGCAGCGATTCTCTGGGTTTAAATAACTTGTAACATTTTACTATTTCTGTAAAGCATAAACTATTCTAGTACAAAAAAGAATGAAGTTGGTGAAACAACATTTGCATGTCATGGTAACTAAAGTGTCCTATGAATGAGGGTAGGTGATGCTGAATGATTTAATGCCGCCAACGTAGTTATTTGACTACATATTTTTCGTAAACATTACTGACATGCTATGAAGATGCAGCGCCATCTTTTTTATCAACTGAGCTTTGCTCTTTCTTCAGACAGAACCAACTATAAGCGACGAATCGCCTACGAACTTGTTAGTATTTAGGGATTTTGAAACCAGTAAAAAAACTTGATTTGTAATCTGATAACGAGGAGACTGTGCACACTATGAGGCATAGAAACCCCGTATCACATGAGATAGAAATAAATAATAACCTATTGGTTTGTATTTTTGATTGTCAAGTCTTTCTTTGAGACATAAATTGTTGGCATTTCATGGATGATAAAGCCAGGGGTTGTCAGTATATCAATCAATCTTCTCGTTGAGAATACTTCCACATAATTATTTTGAAGAGTTGTTGTTGTTTTGATATCTTTGCCTACTTGTTCAACACCATTTTCTTGGACATTTACATAGAAATAAAACTTGGCAGTGGAATCACAAGGTCGACTTGTTTTGGAATGTAACCATGATGAAATTTTTCCAAAAGGAGGTGAACCAGGGGGATAATACGTAATCAGCGCATCTTGCCGTTCAGAGGATACATTAAGTATGTGATTGCTCCATATAGTACATAAACGTGTCAGTTGCTCTTGATCATGTACGACCAGACGTATTGATTTCGAATGGCTGGTAATACAAGTTACATCTGAAGCTTCTTCTGAAGACATAAGACTAAATTCTATGCTCCATAAAATACTTTTAGGTTCGTCTTTTTGTATATAGACACGGGTTTTGTTGACTTTTGTACGTGACAACATGAGTGTTGGTGCGAGTCGAAGTGTTACACCATATTCATTGGCCAACTTTACTAGTTGATTCCTTCTACGTATCCTCCCAGTATTTCGATGAGATAGCTAAGGAAAAAATAGCTGGAAATGATAAAACTCGTAGCACTGTGTCTATCACTTATAAAAAAACAGTACAGTAAAGAATCTCCCAAATACACCGTAACCACTGGAAAAGTTGGAAGTTTCTGATAAGAAAGACGTTAGAGTCTCAAGAGACCATCTTTTTGTTTGAGCGATAGGTTAGCATGGCGACATTAGTACTAATAGAAAGGTTGGCAGTACGTGACGAGATTAACATTTAATTTGTCCTGCTAAGATCATGAATAATATGTCAGTGATATATTTCGTAGTATGAGCTTTCGACCTTAACCTACTGACTTTGGCACACAACCCTGCTCAAAAGACAGACTACACGTAATTTTGTGACGAACATTGTTCGTGAAGAATCTGTGATACTGATGACGCTTGTAAGTGACTACGTGAGAGTAGGGATGAAAGTCGAAAAATGTAAGAGTATGTTAGGAATTAAATATCTGCATATATGTTGAGTGTCACCGACCAAACTAATAGCGAGTAACTAAATCAGATGCAAAAACATTGGAAAATTACGTAGTTAAAAATGAATATGTAATTATAATAATGAAACTCACGGGCAGAACATTCGTTACGAATATAAAATCTAGGGAAACTTCGGTGTAACTTTAGGGTTTAGGAGACCAGGAGTGAAGTCTTAGGCTCCATGGACTTATTTATACACAGTGTGGGTTCATTTATGAGTCTTCTGATGGATACCGCAGTTCTGCAACACAGAACGAGTCTAACGATTTTTCACTGATACGACTATAGCTGCTTCTTTGACATGGCGGTCGGGCATGGCTGGAACATATGTCCTACTATTCCAGACAGGTCAGTTGGAGAAAAGTACGACTGAAAGCAGCAAGGTCCGAAGACGAAGTCGTATTGTTGACTGTGGAGGGGTGCGACGACGCTAAGGTGTTCAACTCGGAAACCAGCATCTGCAATGATATTGTCTTCTCACAACTGAAGGAAGGGGTTTAAAAAGATCGAGAGTAGAAATATCAAAACTCACCCTACCCCACGGATTTCTGTCTCCGGCGGTAAGGCCTTTCGAAGTGCGGAGCTAACAAGTCAGGACCTCATAAAACGGACGTGCGTGTTCGGCCTCAAGCAGTTGTCTCTTGGTTTTTTGCGGATACGCTCCTAGGTCACTAAGACCAACGTTAATCAAGCTTTTTTAAATGGAGTTTTGTTCTCTGAGCTGGATGGTTTAATCGTGGGGCTCTCGTCGTTCTTCTGAACGACATCGTCCCAAGGTTTGGGCAACAGAAACGTAACAACCGCCCTTATACGTCTAATAACAGCAACCGAGATCATCTTGTTTACGATCACATCCCTCCCCCACTTTTCAATAATCCTCATGTCCCCGTGACTAACCTTTCTGGCATATCTTTATCAACACACGCTACTGATGCTAATGATTTGAGTTCACGAAATGTTATTGTTGGTCTCCCCAAACGAAATTCTAAACTTTTAATGTCTAAACTTTGTGTCAGATAAGAGGACAGTTTTCTTTAGCTGGGACTTTAGGAATTGTGGCGGGTGATTTTATACCTAAGTAGGTAAACTAAACCAAACCTAAAGGGACTTGGGGTGGGTCTTACGGTGCCGCGTCTCAGCAAACAGACAGTGATGGCCGTAGGATATCAATATGCTCAGGTAACCGTCTATTTTTGGCAAGCAGCAACTTCAAGTACACGGAAAAGCATTGTCTAACGTGGAGACCCACTGAGTCGACTCAATGATGGACACGAAAAGATCACATTGCCGTTAGCCATCGCTGAGGGAGCTTGATAGAAAACTATCGCTCATTCTAGAGCATATGTTTAGACTGGGATTACGCTCTAGTTCCAGCGTATTTTTGTGAGCATCTAAATAGACATAAAAAAGCTGCGGCATCAAAACAAGTCTTCAAAATCTGGCTGTTAGTGAGACTATTTCGGGAAAAGACGTGACTATATTTCACTCTTAATAGAAGAGATTGGATCGATGGGTAGAACACCTTAGGGGACAGTTCAACTGGCCTCCAACCGCACTTCAGTTATACACCATTTCTAAGCAATGTGAATGGGAAATTGCGTTAATTCCTCCAACTCTTAGTGAGGTTGAAAAGGCAAGAGGTAGTACTAGAGCCTTGTCGACCAACTCCCGAGGATTTTAAAGATAGTGGTCCAGTTTTAGCAATTAAATCAGCCGAGATCTTAGCGAGAATTCCGAGACCTGACTGTAGTTCTGTCTGATTGATTTCAATCGTCGACCGTCCCAGTCTACAAGAAAGGACAAACATTCTCTTGTGATAATCACAGGGGAGTCAGTCTAATCAAGTGTCTAAAATATTGGCCCCAATAATACTTCGACGTCTAATTAGAGCTAGTGGAGAGCGAATCCGAGAAAACCAGGCTAGTTTCAGACTTGGATGTGGATGTAAAGATCAAATATTTACCCTTCAGAAAGTCCTGGAACAGATATACTTTTCGACGTCCGATAATAGTTGTATTCCTTAACCCTGAGGTGGCGTTTGAATCCGTCGATTGTGTGGTTTTGTGACGGTAACTATCACTGAAAGGTGTGCCAAAGAAGTACGTTAATCTTTTACAGGCTGTTTATTAAAACAGTACTAGTCGAGTTATAGCTTATGGCAAACTGTCATCGGAATTGAATACTTCATTTGGTGTTCGTTAGGCTGTCTGCCTTTTCACTTTTAACTTTGTCGTAGACATGCTTTCAGAGGCAACACTTTTATCTAACTTTTAGGGTTAGATTTTCTGCCGGGAGATTCACTCGTTGATGTAGAATACGAAGATGATATAGTTCTGTTTAGTGAAAACGTTGACAAAGTAGTGTTCTAGTTGCCCTAAGCAACAATGAAAGCACGTTTGAGAGGCGGTTATCTCCCTTCAAATATAAAATGATTATTCAGGACTGGCTTACATCAGAGCCTGAGTTAATTATAGGGCGTGGATTAGTTGAACGCATCGACCGCTCCATTTATATTGGGAGACTTATTAATCCTGATATTCTGGTGTCTGATGGAATCTCAATCATAGATGTCTTTAAAGCGCTGCCCTCGTATTCTAGGACTACCGAGTAAGTAATGCCTGAATTAGGAATAGGGTAATAGGTAAGGATGACAAATTGATTAAACTAGCATATTTTCATCAACTGAAACAGTTGGGTTGTGTTACATATGCCCAACCACTGTCTACCTTGACGGGTATGTTATATGTAGTAGGAGTGCGTTGGAAGAAAGATAAAGTGGCTTAAACAAGACATAGCATCAGTCCGATAAGTCATTGACAATTGGACTGGGCTATGCTAATAGATGTAGACTAACTGGTTTCAGTCCATATGATTATAGTAATCAGTGGTTACATAATTGGAATTATATGGCTCAAAATCGTCTTCAGTGGCGTAGGTGCGTCCAGTCTTAGTTCCCCCCAGATTCTGGGCTTCTGAATTCTTCGTAACTTGTTTTGTGTTTTTATTTAATTGCCTTATATTTCCTTGAATCGTATCTGATCCCTAATCTTTTCTGTTACCACTGTTACCACTATCACTACCGCTACTATTTAGTGACCTGGGTTGACAATTTCATCTTGCTATGCAAAGTGGGTATGGCAACTTGAACTGATGCACATACGTACCATGTTCTGCGTTGTGACTGACTGATTCTACGGATAAATTTGAAAGCTAGCTTTGCAACGCCTCGATGACTGACATAAACTAGCTTCGAGAGGACAGAATACATCCATGTAAACACAAGATCCAGGCAGCAACAAAACTTTGACACCAATCGAAAAAAGATGGGCGTGATATATAAGCTTAGATGAAAATATTAACTAGAAAGCGATAAGATATAACAGTGTTCACTTACCGATAAAAGTTGTTTTTCCCTATAAGCATTTTTCCTGTCTATTTCCTCTAGTAATCTATAGTCTTTCTGAAAGAAGAACATTGAATAATTCTCTTTCCGACAATAGGTAATAGTATCACATATACCCGTACAATCAAACTGTGCTTTATGGTCATTACAGCATGGAAGACTACAAGTTTTCACTTCACATTTCGGACATTTGTATTTAAACTCATTTTCTGAGCACATAGCGCATAACCGATTGTCACTGACTGAAGCACATTTCACAAATTGCGAATTTTCTACATCCATTACTGTATTACTTCAGAACGACATGGCACCTAGAGAGTGGCATGAAGAATAATAACATTCAGAATTTCGAGCAAATCAATGAGAAAAGTGTAACTGGGTCGATAAAGTGTGAATAAAGTTCACTGTTTCAGCAATAATCTAAAAAACCACTGAGAAACAGCTTCTCAAGTAAAAGTAAACTAGACTGACGACCAGTCAGTCAGTGATTTCGGGAATTAAGGTTGGAGTTTTCATCACAAACCAACATCAGCTATAACGCCGAAATGCTATTTAGCCGTATAGATTGTCCTTACATAACATATCGCTTGGCATAGTTTATAAACTATACTATAATATACATATTACTGTACACTCCTCCCGAAAGTACGCCGAACAGGTCTTAAGCAAGTTTTAGGTAAATCTACGCGTCGTTAAAAATATGTCATAAACAGTAAGTCATCTTATTATATTAATGTGCAATATACTGAAGCCAAAAAACATGTGACATTACGCACACATTCAATGAACGCGGTCCGTAAATACAACATTCATTATCTAGTAATATATTCTCAGTAATTAAAAAACTTGTCGTGAACCAAAATAAATCGAATGATTACTTTGTAGTGACCTACTCTTATCAAGAGAACGCGACTGGTGTTATGAAAACAGTTATTATTTAAGGACAGGGCCTACCAACTCGGCAAACATTATATAGGTAGGCTACCTTTCCATTCACGTAAGGCTCATACAGACAAACAGGAAGCTCACGCGTTTTAATTTGAAAGCATGAACTGCTTATACATGAACGCTGCAAGTCTGCGAAACAAAATGGATGAGCTACGTGAACTTGGCAACACTCATAAGGCTCATCTGGTAGGAATAACTGAAACTTGGACATCTCAGTTCTCGGACCAGGAGTTAGCGGTATCTGGGATCTCTTTGTTTCGCAACGACATAAAATCAGGAATTGGGTGTGGATTAGATATGTTACAACAAGTTCATAACCTCGAATTTAACAGTCTTGAGGAATCCATATGGTGCTCTGTAAGATTGTCTGCTACTTTGAGGTGTCTAGTCGGAGTCATATATATGAAGCCTACTGCCGACACCGAGTATGACAGTCGTATGATGGAAGGACTGTCTCGCTCTACTCGTCTCGGTTTCACTCATATCCTGATTCTAGGGGATTTCAATCTCCCTAGAGTCAACTTCGTGAAACATACGTAGCTTGGAGGTGAAAACTCAACTGAAGCTCGGCTCTTCAACCTCATTTAGGACTTGGGATTATACGAAAGCGTAAAGTCGGCAACTCGTTGGAGAAACAGTCAGACACCATTGCGCTTGTACTGTGCGTTTACAAACGAAGAATTCCTTGTTGACAACCTCTCACTCCTAGCTCCCCTTGGAAAAAGCGATCACGCCGTTATAACTTTCAGTTTCGTCAGCAAAACTGAGCTAAGATATCCCATCAACAACTTGCGCTGGAATTTCAAACGGTTGAATGTGTCAGCTTCACAGGACTATCTACAGCAGGTGGATTGGGATGTCCACCCTCAACTCGATGTGGATGCTCATTGGGACTTCCTGCTGCACACGCTCATATGTGCTACAAATCATTCAGCTCCTCAAACGGTCCCCTATAGCTATCAGCAACCCACAATCATCAGGAACCGCACTCTTCGCCTGCTAAGCCACCAAAGGCACTGTTGGGCAGGGTACAAACGAACTGACAACAACGGAGCGCATAGGCAATACAAACATAAAAGGAACATATGCACAAAGGCTATAAGAGTAGACAGGCTCAGTACCAGACAAAGCCTATGGACAAACTTGTCTCTAATCCGAAAAGCCTATTCCGGCCCCCATAGGCGCTTACCTATAGAAAGATATGCCAGTTTATATCATAGCTACCACATTTGAGGTCCTATAATAGTTCCCCCAGCCGAACGTTCCAGCACCCAGTCCCTCAGTCTCAGCATGCAGGATATAACCCCTACAGGATGGTTCTGTTAGCAGTGTCTTCCAGGCATCAGAAGTTTAAAACTAGAATGACATGTGGTG